ACTCTCTCTCCTCCTCCTCCTCTCTCTCTCTCTCTCTCTCTCTCTCTCTCTCTCTCTCTCTCTCTCTCGTTCCTCTGTAAATGCATTTCAGTCGGCATGTCGCGTCGCGTCGAATCGATCGGCACCTCGATTTGACCTTCGAAATCAATTTTTCACGTTGCTACCGCGCATTATTCGATACCCTTTTGCGATATTCAATTTTTTCCCAATTATAGGGATTCTCGTATTCACGTTTCACAACTTTTGCATGGAAATAAACGTTGCAATATAATCGGCAGTAATAAAGAACATACAGAAAAAATTATAGATGTTATATCAATTATAGATATTATATCTTAACGATAAATTCCTTTATTATTTCTCATTCATGATATTGATTACTCAAGAAAGAATAATTATTTTTGATCGTCAATTTTTAACGGAAAATTTTAGAATCGCAGATTGTTTAAAATTTTATTTACAAATGAAGAATTAAAAGCGATATCTTCAATCTTTTTATCGCGGCTTAAAAGTTAATCGAGTTCACGAGTTTATTTCGAGTTATTTCGCTCCGAATAAAATTCACGCGACGCAAGTTTTAAATACCGCTCGCCGTCCGATATCAACGGCAAATATTTGCCGTCGCAGCAAATACGCAGCTCCCCGGTAGCTCCCTTGTCTTATTTCGTGTAATAGTATCAGCGGTAACATCTCTCAAATTTACCCGGGCGCAGCCTAGACGTGGCTCTAGCGGATCTCACACCTAGCGGTGGTATAATCCGTACACACCGTACACGTCCCTCGGAAGGATCTTCCTCGTTCGAGCGTGGAAGACTCAAGCCGAAGCTCAACGGCGCAACGTCACCGATCAATTTGTCATGGGATGACCCAGTATCAAAGATACGAGTCCCTTGGGTCAGTGTAACGTGTTTCTGGGAACGTTGATACACATGCACATGGGGCACACACGTAGCCCGGGCGCGACGCGACGCGACGCGATGTGTATGTACACATATGCAAACATACGATGCGGCATACGCCGCGATATACGTCACGTGCGTAGGTGTGTGCGTGCGTGCATGCGTGTGTGTCGTGTATGTGTGTTGCGCGCGCGCGCGCGCGCGCGCGCGCGTATGTGTGTGCTTGTCGCTGGTTCGCACGACTATCTAAATATAGCCCTACGACCGTGTACACACGTATATGGGATGTATTCAATGGTTATCGCGATTTTCGATACTCCCCGACAAAGTCGGAAAATATTTCGTCACGCCGCTGCAGCTGACACTGCACCGGATAAGAGTGATGAGGGTGCCGCGGAATCAAGAATGCAGGAATCAATTTTCCGCATCCGCTCCGTTTATCCGCGCTATATCTCAAGAGCTCGCGTTTCCTTTTTTCTTTTTTTTTTCCATTGTTTAAAAGAATCCGACTTGTAATAAAGAAAACTTTTCCGCGTATCACTTTTTTCCTACGTTATCTCGCGGTGCATAAGAGATCTTAAAGTATTTATTAATGTGTCTTTTAATAACGTGCCTTTGAAAGCTCTTGGTTTTTTTTTTTACTTCGAACATATTTAATTTATAAACAATGAAAAACAGATAAATATTTATTTCGAAAGATAAAAGTTTGGGATAACGATGAACAAGTCGGAATGAATGAATCATATATAACTTCACTTTATACATTATTTAAATATGAAAAGCTGACAATTTCATATACATAACATGAAATAGGCATCATTGAATAACCATTTTACTTTATAGGATTGCTATTTTGCGATGTTCCTACATTTTGAACATCATGTGACGGATTTGCGGGATGGAATCGGATTTGTGAGCGGTATGTTTTATGCTTTATTATGTATAGAATGCGTTTCGACAAAATGCCGTATTTTCTTTGAACATGAATTCTTTTGTGCATTGAACTTCACTGTGTTCTCGACGGAAACCATTGTCAATCGCAGTTTTTTTATATATATTTTTATATATTCGAAATATTCAATTAAATCAGAAATAGTCCATGTGCATTTTTTTACATTGTTACGGAAGCTCATATTCGAATCGGTTGGAAAATTTAATAACTGGACACTTAAAAA